TTTCCCTGCATTTCTCAGGAAGAGGAAGATTCTGGAACAGATTGAAAGTGCCAGGCAGGAACGTGCTTTCCCCTTGGAGCTCTCTGCCAGCCCATTCCTCCGCTCTTACCCGCCAAGAGACCCAACGTAAGGCCCTGCGGTTCTGACCCAGGCTTCCTGGTTCGTGGCTCATGACTCCCTTTTCACTCCAGCCGGGTCCAGCTCCTGGCATTAAGTCAATACACCCCTCGCTCTGTAGCCTTTCTTTCTTTGGCACACTTTCCCTCCAGCTGGATCCCGTTCCCCCCTTTGCTGCCAATCAGAGCCCTTCCCATCCTGCCCAGCTCCTCACAAAGTCTTCTGTTCCTTAGGAACCCTTCCCTGGCCATCCCTGGCTCTGACATGAACCTACAGAATTTGTCTGTACGCCTTCAAGGCACAGTTATATAGTGCTTTCCCCTTTCTTACCTATCTGATTTTCCCCTTTCTTATATATGTGTGTGTGTTTTTCCCTTCCTTGTATATGTATAGCCATACTGTTGCTGAGCTATGGACTATTTTTATTCATCTTTGTCTCCCAGTCTCCTTTGGACATAGTAGACCTTCAATAATTATTTGTTAGGTGAAATAAAAACAGTCCAGCTTGTGTCCTCGGAACTCAGGAAGAAATTACATTTCTCCAGTTGTCCTAACTCCCTTGTTTAAAGTAATTGTCCTTTTGGCTGACTGAGATCCACTGGGTGCTCTTTGAGGTATGAACTACAAGGTCACCTTGAAGAGAATCCCTTGCTCTGTGTGTGTGTGTGTGTGTGTGTGTGTGTGTGTGTGTGTGTTGGGGGAGGGAGGAGATGCTAAAGGGAAGAGAGCAAGAAAGAAGAGAAGGTTACTAGAATAATCCATTCAGTAGATAAACAAATGTTTGGAGTTACAGAGAGAGCTGTTGAACCCCCAAAGCAAGATGATTCCAGTGCTTTTGTAGGATTCCTTGAGAAGAGGGTGGGAAAAAGCCTTCCTAGAATCTGCAGCAGAGCCTGGCTGCTCAAAGCAGCCTCAGACCCCCAGCTGAGGCAGATGACCTGCTCATTTTTGTTTTTGTTGGTTTTTTGGGTTTTTTTTTTTCAGCGCTCGAGTGGTTTTGAAGGCACAGTGCAGCCTGGCCAGAGGTCCAGGTGTCCTTGCAGAGTGGGCTTTGCCAAGCCTGCAGTCCTGGGATTAGGGAATGCGCGTCAACGAGTCTTTCTTCTTGAGCAGAATACAGTTGGCCTGCTTTGCCACTCCTCTCTCCTGTCTCTGAAGGGTGCCAGGCACGCTAAATAGTGATTAAACAAAGATTAAAATTCCATTTGTGTGTGTGAGCGTGTGTGTGGCTGTTTGAACACTAATCGATTCTTTTAGTGGAATGTTAAGTAAAAGCACACAGACACCAGAAGCAGTTATTTAGAGCAGCCAGTGAAAATGCATTTCCAATTTATTGTTTAATGTGATTTCCACATTAATTTTCCCAGCCTCCCCACAAATGCGTCTCCCTGGCTGTGCACCTTCCCACCCACTTTGCCTCCTGCAAGCAAAAGGACATTTTGGAAACCATGGGGAAGAAAAGTAGCAAAAGATGGTTGCAAAAGAAGGAAAATAATCAGCTTTCAGAGCCAAATCAAGTTTATAGAATTTAAGAAATTGTGCATTACTACTGGATGGAAAAATCCAGAGGTGCTTTATCATGCAACATTAAGTCACTGCTGTTGCTTAAGAGTCACTGCCTTTTCAAAAGCATTGTTAGTGCCTTTCTTATTAAAAGGTCTCGTGGCATTTGTGTCTGTTGTAGAATGCCACTGTAACTCACAACTGTTTTCTTTCCTTAAGGAACATTTAAGTTCCACATGGGCACATGACGTATTGTTAATGAAGAAACTCTCTAAATCCTGTTATCAGCAAGAGCCAGTTGAACTGATCAGGTGTTAAGTAGGTTACCCCTTCAGGATCCATAGTGTTTGTCTCAGGTACTTTTCGCATTGCTGGGAGAAAAATACCCAGTGCCCAAAGTTAAAGGGGAAAAAGTTCATCTGGCTCGCACTTTGTAGAGGTTTCATTCTATAGTTGGCTGGCCCCAAGGCTGGGTGGCATGGCAGAGGGACATCGCAGAGGAGAAACAGTCCATAGCAAGCAGGCAGGCTAGAACAAGCAAAGGGAAAGACCAGCCAGTGACAAGACAAGCCTCTCCCCTTAGAGCCTATCCAGGCTACCCTTAGGTCAGGTAGCACCCACACCCTTAATCCTACCCAGAGCTATGCCAAACTCGTCAGCGAACTGGTTTAATGATCTCACATCCATTTTCCAGGTGGGAACATGGAGGTGTCTGTGATTTCTGTACCATGCACGAGGTCACACAACAAGGGCTCTCTCTACTACAAACTAGCCTAGGAGTCAGAGAACATGGCCCTTATCCTCTTATCCACTCATGTGGCCTTGGTGTCATACCTTGGCCTGTTTGGGCTTCACTTTCCCCGTGTGTAAGAGGGGGAAGGTAGACTAATTATCTCTGAGCAGTTGCGTAGTTCACATGTTTGAAGAGGACTCCAGTAGTCACATTTTAGACATTTACAGCTCCCCGTGTCAACAAGCTGCAAGGACTCAAGTGACCCCTAAACCTGCACAGAGCACCTCGGGGGAACCTGGGAGGGAGATTAAACTCTGAGAAGCATTGGCTCTAACCCAGCACCATGACGCCTGTCCAGCCCATCTTGAGGAACAACCAGGCTTCCTGTGCCTGCCGTCCTTTGACACCTTCTTCGAAGGGGTCTGTTTCATAGCAGCCCCAGGCCGCCCTTTGGAATCTCTTCAGCAGAGGATGACGGCTGGACTAGGCAGCAGCTTCTGCCATTGGCCCTCCTTCCAGTCTCAGGACCTCCTCAGAGGACATGGTGATAGCTTCTCCCATCCTCTGTAGTCCTCACGATTTCTGCCTGTCCCATCCAGTACACATCGCTGTATATCTCAGCACACTGCAGACCCGCTGGGGCCACGCAGGTAACAGGTACAAGGTGAGCAGCAAGTGGAGCCCAGTAAGGAATGCTGGGACTACAGCAGCCTGGAGAGAGAAATCCCGCCCTCTTCTGTCCCGCCCTTATTCAGGCCACCTGCAGTCCACATACTGACTTCTCTTTTTTCAGAAGATGAACATGTTGATAAAACAATATGAAATCTTCATACTTTTTAAAGCCATAATTTAAAACACACACACATACACACACACACGCACACACACACACACACACACACACACACACACACTTCCTAAAAGCCACCAGACAGCATTTTCCAGCAACCACAGAAGCAGAGCATTACCGTGGGCAGGCCCCTGACTCACCCCAAACTTGATTTCTCCATCTGGCTTAGGGAATTGGCCTTGCCATCTACAGATACATTTGCTTGTATGGAAGATGTGATCTCCTGTTTGCTTTTAGCAAAAGAAGGTCTTCAAATGGATTCCCAGTGCCAGAAACAAACACACTCTGCTCTGAGTGAAGGGGGTGGCAGCCTGAGGTGCCTCCTGCAGAGCTGGAACTCATGACATTTGGAACCCTCTGAACTGATTAGGGCCCCTTAAGGACCTCCCAGTCTGCTTCTGTGATTTCCAAGAGCCCTCAGGATTGGTTGCAGGCACATGGCCTCTGTGACTGTTGTTTTCTTGCTGTGTCTGATTGTTGTCATAACGAGACATGCTGCAAGGATGTTGGGCCATGGTGGAAAGCCCACTGATGCAAAGATGAGGCAGAGACTCAATAAACAAGCTTAGGGATGGTTAGCTCAAGGCCTGCCTAGTTAATTATCTAAGAAATAGGACTGTTGGACCCTGCTGCCATAATGGCACGAACAAGTCTGCAGATTGTAATAGGCCAGGTGATCTGGAAAGCCACTGACATTTGCATGCACACGGAAGATGTTTAAATAGCCTTGCAGTGTGGGCTGTGCAGGGCTTTGGCCTTGCCTGTTGATGTGGGAAAACATCAGCCCCTTGGGTTGACTCTGGACCCAGGAATTCACCCTCCCTCAATTAGAGAAGCCGCTTCCTAATGGGCCCACTAGGATGGGCCTACTTCTGGGAGACCTAACCAGTGCCCTTGCAGGCCAGCTGCTCTCTTGGGGCTGCTGTATTTTTTTTCCTTTCAGCCTCTCAGTTGTGTGCCCCAAACTCTGCACACAATTGCCACATGTTCGACCTCTTTGAAGCTGGGCCCTGGGAGCTACAGAGATGACCAAGACCCAGTTTGTCTTTCTGTGCCCAATCTCAATACCTGCACCGTGAAGCTGTGCCCTAGCCATTGGCCCTGCCCTCCTTGCTGCTCCTGTCCAAGGCCCAGCCCCATGTCCTCGTGTCCCGGAAACTCCACTTCTCCCAGTGGATGTGAACGCTAGGCCACTCATCTGAGTGACCACCCTTCCCTGTCCACTGTGTCGCCTCCGGCCACCTGAGCTCGAGAGCCCCGGAAACAGGTCTGAACTGAACAGTGTGCAGTACTCGCTGAACGTTGAAGGCTTAGTGCCAACAGGAGAGGGGGAAGAAAGCAAAATGTAAAATACCTCAACGGTTTCTTACAGACTGCATGTTGAAATGATAATACATCATCATACTGGGTTAATTAAAATATACTACTAAAACCAATTTCATCTTCCTTTTCCTAACATGGAAAGTAGAAAACTTCAGATGACAGGTCTGGCTCGTGCCTTGTTTCTCATGGGCCGCACTATACATGACACCTTCTCCTGAGCGTGAGAAGAAGGAGCCTGTCTTTTCTTTCTCCTACAGATTTGGGAGCTCCTAGAGAACGGGGGTTTCTGCTCTCTCACCTTGCACACCTGGCTGGCACATGGTAGTCACACAAAGTTGGGCAGAGGGAGCAGATGGACAAATCCAGTAGACACACAGCCATCCCGCGGGCTCCAGGGGCAGTGGCCCTTCCGGGGCTGTCGTTGACCTTAACCCGGTTTTCCTGTCTCTCACAGGTTTTGTCTTTTCTTTCCAGGGCTCACACAGTCGGCAGAAGAAGCCTTTTTTTGTGGGAGATGGGCAGAAGCTGAAGGACTGGCACGACAAGGGGGCCATCAGGAGGGATGCCCAGCGCGTGGGTATGGAGGGCAGGATTCCCCGGGTGGGCTCCGTGATGGCTGTAGGCACGGGTGTGTGGGGGCGTGGACGTGTTCGCATGTGTGTGTGGACCTCCTGCCAACTGCCCTGACGGCCCCATCGCTGCTGCCCCTGAGTCCTGTCCCTTTCCCCGCTGTTCTGACCACTGCTCCCCTCACACCAGCGGACTCTCTGCCGCAGAGATTTGCCCTGCCACCTTTTGTGGGTGACCAGAAATGTCTCCACCATAGGATTCTTGAGCACTAGAACAGGAACCAGTAATTACAAGAGCTGATACCTATTAAATGCCTCGGGTGAGCAAGGTCTGCTCTCCATGCTCTGTGTATTTTCTCCGTGTGATCTTGAACAGCAACCTTTCTGGCTACTTAGTAAGAGGGGAACTGTACTTCACAGAGTCGTAGTAATCTGCCTGCAATCACACAGTGAAAATGAGGCTGGCTTGGAACTTGAACCCAAGCCTAGAAGGTAGAGTTGGTCCCTACCCAGTATTGTGGCCAGGAGGTTGAGTTCATTTTGTGGGCTTCAGATAAAGTTTTCTTTTTCTACGTTGTCTTGGGAGTAGTTCCTTTAAGATGGAGAGTGGGGGGTGGTACTGGGACAGAACGTGGAGACTCATGTCCAAAACTTGATGCCACTTACCGGCCATGCCCGTCAGATGAAACCCATGCTCCCAGAGCCCCAGTCTGCCCATCTGTCTGTGGGGCTCCTGCTTCCTGCCCATGCAACCTCAGAGAATTGCTGTAAGAGTGACTTGGAAAGTCATGGATATGAGTAGCTTTGCCATACTGGGAAGCATGATAGACACATAAGGGACTGGTACCCCATTCATTTTTTTTTTCAGTTAAAGGCATTCCCACCTGTTATATTGTACCAAGGGCTCTGAAGAGAACTGACATCATAATGAATGGCCAGGGTGATCTAAAGATAACAACGGGCATTCCTCTGATGACAGTGATTTAAAATTAAAGGTGAAGGGGCACTGCTTAAATTCAGAAAGGAAATATTTACAAAGGGCTGATTTGCCAGACATCTGCACTAGAATTATTAGAACAGTGGGTTACCCCGCAAGGAAAGAGCAGTGGGGACATTGAGAATGATAACCAGCAGGGTGTGATGGCCCATGCTAGTAATGCCAACTATTCAGGGGGCCAAGGCAGGAGGGTCACAAGTTCGAGGCCAGCCTGTGCAACGTAGTGAGATCCTGACTCAGTATCAAAGAGCTAGGGAAGTGTAGCCCAGTGATTAAAAGTGCTTGCCTAGACTGCATGGGGCCCTGGTTCAATCCAGGACACTGCAAAGAAAAAAGACAAAGAGGAAAGAAGAGGGAGACGGGAAGAACAGCAGGGATCTTACACTGAGTCATCGCCTCAGTCATCACAGTGAGCCTCCTTATTCCATGTAATACAAAGGGCAAAAACAGGCTCAGAGAAGCTATCCACATGTCCAGGACGACATACCGGGGACGAGCAGGGCAGCCCAGCATCCCCGACAGCCCCCTTTTTCTGCTTCCTGCGCCTGTGTCCTTGTGGAGTCCAACCTGGGCCCTGGTCACCAGTGTTTAAGCTCCAGCAGAGCTGGTACAGAGGGCGGGTCCTTTCCCTCATCCAGCTGAGCTGGAGTAGCCACAGCCCCAGGGCTCCACCCTCAGCTCACACCTCCGGAGCTGACCTCGGTGTTTACCTTGCCGAGTAATAAAATAAACAGAACGTAGTTCAGACCACCAGCTCTGGAAGTGAGGTGACTTTTAACCATCTGATTTTATTGCCACTTCTTCAAGGCTCACACGCACAGGCTCTTGGGCCACTTTTGCAGGGCTGTGGTGCAGTTCTCACACCTTGCCCCTTGGGAACCCAGAGAATACTTTTCCCCCTGATGGGTTATGCAGAGAGAGGAAACCTGGCTTTCTCCACCCAGATCTGTGACTCAGAGCAACACGTTTCAGGTCATCCTGGCTGGGGGTACGCAGCTGTTATTTGATCGCTTGAGGAAAAAGCACAAACATCTTTTGTCATGTGTAGCGACTTTGACTTACATACCAAATTTGATGTGCACGTTATCACTCTTCGTCACATTTGTATGTTTTATAGTTTACAAGAAGCATTCACATGGGAGTCCTTTCATTAGATTCCCCCAACATGCTGTGGCCACAGAGGAGGAAGCTGCAGCTCAGGACCAGGTTGATGTGCTCCTGGCCTGGCCTCCTGCCTAGGTGATTGGACGCAGAGGTTGGGGGTGTTTGGACCTCCCAGGAGAGTGGAGGGAGCAGGGGCTTGAGAACCCACACCTGGCTTTATAACCTTTCTGGGTCTCAGTGTGTTCATCTGTAGAATGAGAGCTCTCGTGGCCGCTCTACAGGGTTGCTATGACGACTACATGAGAACAAGATGTGTGCATGTGTGATGCAACCACAACCAAATACATGTCAGGTCTCCGCCCCACTGCCCGCTGCTCCCCGCAGATTCTGGAAGTGTCCCCCTGTACGGCAAGGATAAAGTTGCATCCACCCTTCTCTCCCCGCTCCATTCACAGTGCCCCCCACAGAAGCCAGGTAATGGGCAGTACTGAATTACTCTTTGCATCTAGGGAATGGAGAACAGGGGAGACCTTACCCCATGACTGATGCAGAGAGAGTGGACCAGGCATACCGAGAAAATGGATTTAACATCTACGTCAGTGATAAGATCTCCCTGAATCGCTCTCTCCCTGACATCCGGCACCCAAGGTGAGTGTAAAGTCTCATCTTCTGGGATCTAAGGACTTGGGCTCTAGCTGTGGTTTGAGAATTAAAGAAATAGGTACAGGTAGTGCTGCGAGCAGAGACTTTGTCCTGTCACACAGGGCCCTCTGCGGATTCGCCTGGAACTTAGTGCTCTTATGCCGTCTCTAGAGGGGCCAGGTTCCTTCTCCTTCTGAGAGCTGAAACCACCTGACCTCTGCATTTTGCCTTTGGCCCTGCCCCCACACCAAGAAGTTCAGACATCAGTTTAGGGAACTATGACTGTGATGTCTGTGACCCTCACCCTCTCCACTTTCCATATATGATGTTGTTCTTTTTTAAAACATTACCTTTTAGGGCTGAGGATTTACTTCAGTGGTGCCACCTTGTCTACCTCACAAGTGCAAGGTCCTGAGTTCAATCCCCAGTACCGAAAAACAAAAAAAAAGTTTTTATTCTTTGTTAAAAATTATCCCTCACCATACTGGGTGAGGATGCAGTGTAATGATTGTAAAAACCATAACAATGGCAGCTAACATTCTTTGAACAGATATCAAGCACTTCCTGTGAGGTAAGCCCTGGAATGATGTCTGTTTTCCAGATGAGGAAACTGACAATCAGAGAAGTGTCAGAACTTCAGGCTACAGGACAATTGTGAAGCTGAGCCAGGTCTCACCCTGCAGTTTAACTGAACCTGTACTCTGTGCCTTTGGCGCTCCTGCTTCCCTGGTGTCATCAGGAAAGTTTGTTTTCATGTAATGGTGATTTTCCTAGGAGAGCAGTTGTCCAACCTGGGTGCACTAGAATCACCCAGAGGTCTGCTAGAACACAGGACATTGGGCTTTCCCCCAAATTCCCAGCCAAGTGGGGAGCCAAGAGCTGACATCTGAAGGGCTTGGTTGGGGCCCACACTTTCAGGACCACCGCCAGTGGAAGATCTTAGAACCACTTCTGTGCAAGGCAGTGCTGAGAGACCCCAGAGCAGAGAGTGTTTTGCTCAGGGACTAAGAAAATAGAACCTAGGAAAAGATAAGAGCCGACACTTATTAGGTACTTACTGTATGCCTGGCATCGCTCTAAGCCAGTGGTCTGCAAAGCATGGTCTCCCAGAACGGCAGCATCAGCATGGCCACGTAATTGGTTAGATGTGCCAAAACTCGGGCCCCAGCTCAGATGCACTAAGTCAGAAGCACCAGGGAGGGGTGCATCAGTCTGCGGAACAAGCCCTCAGCCGAACCAGTCTTCTGGGCACCCTGCATTCTTTGAGTCAGCCAAATGTGCCAAAACCCCTAGGAAGTAGGTTTATCCACCACTTTGCAGAGAAGAAATGAGGCCCAAGGTAAAAGTGTTGGAATAAGACGACACAGCTGGTAAGAGTTGAACTCAGGGAGTCGGACCCCAAACTCTGTGTTCTTAATCCCTGGTGTCTGAAGGTTTTTCCACCTCTAGGAACTCAATCGGGAGACTGCAAAGCGGGGACTTAAAGTTCGTAGCGTGTTTGGTGACTTACAAAATACTCTTGTCCCCATGACCTCCTTATTTGCCTGTAACAGTCCTTTGAGGATGGCGTTTGTATCATCTTTCCTACCTTGTAGATGGGGAAACTGCATGGCAGGGACACTTCACCTAAAAGATGGGTTGTCACCCAGGATTGCACCCTTTGCCCCAGGATCAGTTGCCAGGAGGGGACAGAACAGTGTGCTCGCCTACAGGGGTTGCAGTTTTTTTCATGATCTTCTCTGTGAAGCCCCAGAGTCTTCCATCTAAGTCTCGGACTGTAATTCAGCTGTCAATGATGTTGCAGGATTCAGAACTATGTATGACCTGATTCTGAGGGTCACAAACTCAGTTTGTGTGCTTAGCTTCTTGCAGGGCTCAGACTTCTAATTTCATCTCTCTAGATGTAGGAAAGAAGTTCATCTGAGAGCATGGTGTTCTAACCTCAGCTGCTGTTTTTATTATATGATGGGTTCTCAACCCTGTCTGTACCTTGTTTTGTTTTGTTTTTAAGCACAAAGTCTGGCGTCCCACATCTGACTACAGGAAGCTCAATCTCTTTGGGTACAGCCTGAGTCTCAGTCATTTGTAAAATGTCCAAAAGCAAATCACACATGTAACCAGGTTAAGAAGCACTGATGTCAAATAAGAAATACTTTGCAATGAGAGGGAGAGGCTGGGTGTGGTCACAACTTTCATCCATCCATCCGTTCATTCGGTAACTATAGATTGATGGTCTTCTATGGGCCACGCCCTGTGCTCAGCACGAGGAGCCCAGGGTTAGAGGGGTCATTATTGCTGCCTTAGGGGAACTCACTCTTGTACAAGGGCTGGGGACAAATGACATAGGAGGGTCTTTACACCACAGTGGTTGAGAAGATAAGCAATAGGAGTGGCTACCCGGTCCTTAGGGACCACTGAGAGTCCTTCTGCCAGCCATGAGCGAGCTAGAAGGCCTCCTGAAGGAGGCGCCACCCATTCCATCCAGAAGACCAGCGCCAGCCAGCCAGGTGATGGGGACTGGACATGGCACTGTGGGCAGAGAGAAGGGCCTGGGCAGAGGCCCCACGTAAGACAGCACACAGTTTCTGTTTTGGTCTCAAGGAGAGGAGCTTCCCAGACGGCTAGGAGTGGAGCCAGGATGGAGACGCAACCCCTCTAGGAGTCCCTGAGTCCACGGACGGCCCCAGGGACAGAGTTCAAGGGGTCTCTAATCCTGGATGAGACCAACGCTGCATTTTTCTTTGCATCAGCCTGTAGCTGAAACCTGGCGATCCCTTCAGGTGTGAATGTAGACAGCAGAGCACCTGTGATGTTGTCACCCAGAGAAACCTTGGCACACATCATTGTCATGACGTGAAGGGAAGTAAGGTGGTTTTCTAGATGGACAGATACATCATTTTGTGCATTCATAAAGAAGCATATTTTTACTGTATTTCAGATTTTTAGCCTGCTGCTATAAAGTTGTTTCTCGCCTCACAATAGTGCTATGTGTCAACCCACTGTAAGGTACAAATATTTTAGGTCAAAATGTATTTAATGTACCTGTCAAACCTCATAGCTAGGCCTAGCCTGCCTTACATGTGCTCATAGAAGCCTACAGTGGGGCAAAATCATCTCATTTTATGTTAGATTGGGGAATACTTCATGTAATTCACTGAGGTCAGGGCTGAAAGTGAGAGTGGTTGTACGGGTGCTTTCACATCATCGTAGAGCCAAGAAATCCTAAGTTGACCTATCATAAGTCAGAACCCATCCGCATTTCGGGCGGTCAATTTCCTTTGTGGTGTTGTGTATTTTATTGTCTGCCTAGTGAACACTGCTCTGAGATGTGGCCGCCGGCTCCAGCAGCCTGGGGTCTGTAGCGCAGAGAAATGGAAGAGCACCTGCTCCAGGTGGGTACGAACCGAGCGAAGGAAGCTGTCTCAAAGGCCATGCTCCCACCCAGCCAGCGCCCAGTTTACCAACTGGGAACGGTGTCCCCAAACCTGGTGCTCTTGACGCCCGCCCCCGCTAGAATCGCCAAGTGTGAAGCTGACCTTTCGGCAGTGAGCTGATAGATGTTTTGAAGAGCTTTGCTTTTCCAGGGGGGATACTCGCCCCCACAGTTTGACAGCAGGGCTGTGTGAGTAGATAGAGCAGTTGTGCCGCTCACTCCCTTCGGTTTCTTTTAGCTTAAACCACTTCTCCAGTAGGAGCTGAAGTTTATGTTTGCCTTTTATTCCTTTAAACTGAATTCTGGCAGCAGCGTGTGGAGGACAGAGTGGAGGGGCCTTTTGTTTGTGCCAGCTGCCTTTGCTTGCACCAGAAGCGGCACTGGGGACTGCACAGCACAGAGAAGGAAAACTAGGCAGTCTGGTCTGCCTTCCCGGGCTGGCGTGGGCAGCGGCCAGCTGGCTCAGAGCAGGCCTGCCCTCTGTGAACAGAGCCTGGCGGGTGGGCTGGCCTGCTTTCCCTGCACCCTGGGGAGCCCTGCGGGGCTGCTTGCCAACCCAGCATGGAGGCTGTTCCAGGGCACGGGGCTGACATGGGGAGCACCCGCTGCAGAGGCCACTGGCGTCTGTAGGTCCTGTGTGCACCTTGCCCATAGGGCTTTAGTTTCCCTGGAGCAGAAAATAACCACAACAGCCCTGATCTGCTTTTTTCATTTCGTGGGTTCAGCTTTAGTGACAGATGGGCCTGAATGGAATCTTTGTCTTCCAGATTCCTGCTTCCTTGTTCCTTTTGACTTTCTGTTAAACTAATGTGGGTAATAATTGGTGTGTGCTGAATTTCCTCAGAAGAGCTTACACGCGCATATGAAGTATAGGCCAGGACTCTGTCAAGCACGTGTACAACCTCCACAGGTTGCAAAACACAAGCAAGGAAGGCTGCTGGAGCCTATTACTCTGACAAGCAGTAAGTAATGCTCTGAGAAAGTGAGCATTTGCCAGCACAGGAAGCTTAAGTCACCCACATTTTGTGATAATTACAGTGATAATGCCCTACAGGAATGTGCACATGAACTTAAAATTGCCATTTGGTGGTCAAGATGGGGTAACGGGCCAGACATAGCCTCTTACCTGAAACAACCAAAAGCAAAACAGAGCAGAGAAAATATGGGAAGCAGTGGCCCGGGACAGGAGGCACGAGGAGCAATGATCCCCGGGAGATGGGCAACGTGTGAGGTGAGCCTCGTAGAAGCCCAGGCTCCTGCCTGGAGAGAATTTCCAGGCTGTGCTGTGGGGAGGCAGAACCGGTGGAACTGGGCACCATCCTCAGTTGCAGCGTTGCGGCTGAGGACCCAAGGAAGCTGGAGTTCAAGGGACAGAGTCCTGCCGAGGAAGGAGCTCGCCAAGGAGGAGATCTAGAGTCCACTCAGCTACTGGGCAGATTCCTCATCCACACAGGACTGTGGGAGTTGCCTGAGGCCAGAAAAACCTCACCAAAAGGGCTGGAGGGAGCAATGGCAAGCATTCGCTCAGGGCTGAGTGAAGTTGCCTCTGCCCACCTCCCAGGCTGGGGAACCT